CTCATAGCACTGAGGGCAGCAATTTGAGGACCATAACAGTTTTACTCAAGGGTTTTCAGCACCCTGGCACTTTTGCTGATATGTGCTCAGAATCCACAGGAGCGAGAGATAGAGTGATAAAAAGATAGAAAGATAGGGAATATATACCGAGAAATACCATAGAGATAGTGAAGTGGAGAGAAAGATGAGGAAAAAACTGAGAGAGACGGAGGGACAGATGGAGGGAAGTTGTACTCAGGGCTTTGGAGCGGCGGAAAGAAGGATGAGAGGAAGGAATAAGGCAAAAGATGCAAATGTGGTGACGAGGTATGCCTGTTGGGAATAGTTTGCCTTCCTGTGTAATTGCAACACGCGTGCACACACACTTTTTATATTACACAGACATCTTGTTAGCAGGTGCTAATTGGCTTCTTGCTTACCTGATAGGGGGTTTGTGACACTGAACAAAAAACATATAATATTTTCCTATACTGCATACACAGCTTTTTTTTCAGTCCTCATTTACAAGTGCTCTTCACATGCAACCCCATGCAACATCTAACCACATGCACGCAAACATGCATGCATCTGCAGTGCACACACATTTTCTGCATACAAAAGCATTCGTTAGCAGTTCAATTTCCCATCAAATCAGTTTGGTTGGACTGAGCGGCACTAACAAGTGTTATTGAAACACACCCTTTTATTGGCTGAGCTGGTCACCATGGCAGCCATTAGTAAGAGCATTTGATTGGATCTGGCACATCTGCTTGCCCGTGTCACAAATCCCTTGACACCAAAGCACTATCTCTCTCTAAACACTTGCCCGGCGCTCTGGTTTTCAACCAGAATACCAACATTCCACTCAGTGCCAAGAACACACACATTCTCAGTCAAAAAATAAAACAATCAATTAATACTTATCCATGGGTGGCTTTCCAGATTGTTAGAAACAGGGCAAAGAAATCTCACAAACAGACTTGAAGGAGTTTTAAAAAAAAGGAACCATATGCCAAAATGCAACATTACACCACAAACGCAACAAAACCCCCAAAGAGACTCTAATGTCACTGTGTCCTTTCGTACAATCTGGAGCTCTCTCAGCTCTGAGTATCAGGACTGATGTCTCCCACTGTAATGAACAGAAAATTTTGATCGCCTATAGTTATGTGTGCCATTTCCAAGTATGATCCATTTGACCGTGAACGTAGAAAATCCAGCATGAATTATTTCCATCACTCACAGCCTCTCTTTTTCCTTCCTTATGCACTTTCTTTTACCGTGCTTCTTCCTTTCAGTTCCTGTCTCGTACACAGCAAATAAGACTTGTTTTTAGAAAATATTAAATAAAAAATTCCAACCCCATTGGAAAATATTTATGCTTAAAGACAATGCAGTAAGAAAAATAACAGACTTATTCTCCTAAACAACCTTTATTATACACATTATCCTATTATATTATATTATATTATTATATTATTTAATAATTTAATCACGCTTTTCAAGTGATTAAAGAATATATCTTGAATGAGGCTTAGTTTACTAATGTCACTGGCAAATAGTTTTGTTCTTCTTGTTTTAAGCATAAATCTAACAAAATGTAGTGAGGTTTATGCTCTAAAACAATTCACCAGTGAGGTAATAAAAATAAACTTAATTTAAGATATATTCTCTGAAAACAAGTCTTGTCATATTGTTCCAAGTAAATTTTGTTTTAAGGATGTTTAGATATTATACCTGAAAAAGAAAAGACTAAAATACTTAGTTCAGCCAAAAAATGACAATTCTGTCATTAATTATGTCATTTAATTAATTAATGTCATTAATTACTCACCCTCATGTCATTCCAAACCCCTAAGACCTTAATTTGTGTTCCAGCAGAAAAAAACAAAGGTCTTACAGGTTTGGAACGACATGAGGGTAAGTAATTAATGACAGAATTTTCATTTTTGGGTGAACTATCACTTTAGTAAATTGGTTTTTGCAGTGCATCAAAAATGCTGACTGAGCATGGATGGTGCTAGAGTCTTTAAAACAGTATCCGAAACAAACTATATACCACTATACGACACATCCTAACTCATCCATCTTTTCTTTATTCTCTCTTCTGTTGTTTTAAACACATCCTCTTTTTTTTGCCCTCTCAGCTTTAGTGCTTTTCCTGCTTTAAACACCAACAGGCAGTGACTAACCCCTCATCTCTCTCTCTGCATGCAATGCTCTGAGGCTGTGTCCTCCCTGATGTATAGTTTGTCCCTGCCTAATTATCACCCAGGTTTGCCTTAACAAACCTCAGGAGTAGAGCCAACAAAAAGAGAGGGAGGGAGTGCGAGTGCAAGGAAACCAATGTGTTTGCATACTGGTGACAGAAATAGAGAGGAAAGAGGTGATGGTGTAGGGCAGAGAGACAGAAGGATGGGTGAGGAGCAAAACAGAGAGAGGTGAAAGGGAGATGGAAGACATGCAGAGGCACGAACTGACAATGAGGTTTAAAACAAGAGAGGTGAAGGTCAAGCCTAAATCAATCGCATTTGCCATTTGTGTTTGAGAAACTGCATAAAAAACCCAGGTCAATATACAGCAGTGCGCACTTCTGAATTTGTGTTTGTGTGTGCGAGATGTGGTTCTGATGAGTAGGATTCTCAAGTGCAGATTCATCACTGGTATTGATTAGCTAACGCGCAGGCACTTAACACGGGCAGAGAGCAAGAGCGGCACACGCTTACAATCGACATGCACATGCATACGCGCAAATACTGAGTCAACAGTTGGACATTTCTGTTCATTTGCATAGCACTCTACTATCGTAAATTACATACATTAGATCTCGGAATGCACTTTCAAAATGCACACACACCTCTCAAACAGATAGGGTATGTACACTATCGTTTCTGTTCAAAAGTCTAGGGTGGGTAATATTTTTTTATGTTTTCAAAAGAAGTATCTTATGCTCACAACAGCTGAATTTAACTGATCAAAATACAATAAAAACAGTATAAAGTAATATATAGAATATATTTAAAAAAAAGTAATTTATTGCTATGATGGCAAAGCTGAATTTTCAGCAGCTATTTCTCCAGTCTTCAGTGACACATGATCCATCAGAAATCATTCTAATATGCTGATTTGCTACTCAGTAAACATATATTATTATTAATGTTGAAAACAGTTGTGCAGCTTAATATTTTTTGTGGAAACTGTCATATATTCTTTGATTAACAGTAAGTTCAAAATGAACAGCATTTATATTGAAATCTTATAATATGATAAAAGTATTTACTGTCACCTTGTGATCAATTTAATGCATCCATTCTGAATAAATCAATTGATTTCTTAAAAAAAAACTTTTGAATGGTAATGTACATTAGATTTAACATAACACATTTCAAGTGTGTAATAAGTTTTAAAATGTGAAAGCACAAAATTAGATATGTACAATTATCATAGCTATTGACGGTGTTCACATTTGTAAAACAATGCTCATTAATAGTGTCACACATGACAACTAGTCTGTTTGTTGTGTGAAATATTGCAGTTTACTTTTAAATGGTTCATAATTTAAGTAATTTACAAGAATGTTTACTTTGTGATAATGACTGTACATTATCTTGCTACCAAATAAATTTAATGTTCATTTATCACATATTACCCTATTTTATTTATGTGAAAAGAAAAAGAGACTGCACAAAATGCCGTAACTTGCCAGTTAGGAACAAGCATTCCAGAGAAGTGTGTTTTATTTTTGAATGCTGTCCTGAAGGAATAGTTCACTTTTACTTGCCCCCATGTCTTTCCAAACATGTATGACTTTCTTCTGTGGAACACAAAGGAAGATATTCTGAAGAGAATAAGGTTTGATTTGCATTGTATCAGATGGGGGGGGGGAACGATATTAGTTTGGAATGATATTAGGGCGAGTAAGTGATGAGAGAATTTTGAGTCTTGTGTGAACTATCTCTTTAATACTGTCAAGATGGTTTAGCAGCTAGTCTGGTGGAAAAGGGTGTGCTGATATGAGATAGCTACTGTTGCAATTTCAGGTTAGAGGTAGTTTCACACTGTGCACAGTCTATTGGAAAAACAGCTGTTACATGTAACACACTCGTTATTTAGAACCTCTTGGGAGCAGGAACATTACAGGCCCATAACTAATGACTAAAAGTGCAATCTGAGATAATTGCAGACGTAGTTACGGATCCTCAGGAGAAAACTACTTATTTGATGGGCTGTAGTTTATATGTTGGATGTCTAACAATGTCAGTATTGTCCTGATTGTATTTACAAACAATACTACAACATCTATCATGAAACATGTTCAAAAATACATAGAATAACCATGGCACCATATCCAAAACATCATGGCAGCTTGGTACTTTTCTGTCCTTTAAATATTAGTTAAGACTTAACTGTTTGTGCAGCTGCAATGCCAAAGAAGCTCACTGTTTGATGAATATGTGTATGTACAGATAGATGGGAGAAATCTGAAGGCTTTACTGTATTTCTGAGAAGATCTACCATCTTGTCAGATCAAAGTACTTTTTAATACATCACAGTGAGCAAACAGTTTCGAAAAAGCACAGTCTCTCTTTAATTCCACCGTTTTATTCCGAATCTGCTGATTAATTGTTTTTCTCTTGTCGATGTTTGTGGGCATGTGTGTGTGTGCGTTGGGAGGGAAGGGCAGCTCTATCAGAGATGGTTTAAGAGTTTAGCGCTCATTTCATCTCACTGGGTCTCTAATCGCTCTTTTGCTCCTCAAATAGCGCCTCTGTTCTCACTCACGGCGCTATCAGAGATCGTCTGTTAAAATTCTGAAAAGTGCTAAGCCTCAGGCTGACAACAGCTCCCATCACACACATACGTTCTCGCTCTCTCACCTTTATTTCCACCTGCTGATTCTCACTTGCTCTCTTTCACCTTCTAATTCCTCTCACCTCTCCAATGCTTCTCTCCTCTAATGTCTTTTCCCTAGATTCGTCTCATTCAGCCTCAGAAAAAGTGGGGGAAAAGGATTGACTCACCTCCTCCTCCACCCAGAAGTGTCTTGTTAGCTGAAACAACAAAAAGAAAACAGAGCACGCTTCAGGGAAGATGTCAGAGACATTACAGCAAGAAAAACAGTGACTTTAAACCAAATTTATGTCTTACTGGTGACTGACAATACAAATTCTATCAGAGGGGAGAAGGTCAAGTATGAGAATTAGTTAAAGAACTCAATATTAATACACTACCATTCAAAAACGTTTGAGGTCAGTAAGATTTTTTTGTTCTTGAAAAAAAGTTTCTTATGCTCACCATCTTCATTTAACCAAAAATTAGTGTAAAAAAAAACCTATTGTGAATTCCTGTGGTGGCAAAGCTGATGTGGTGCTCAACTAAGTTTCTTACTATCATCAATGTTGAAAACAGCTGTTCTGGCTAATAATTATAAACATCTTTACTGTGACTTTTAAAATATATGTGTCCTTGCTAACAAAAAAATATGAATTTGTTTAAAAAAATGGTAGTGTATATAAACTTTTCATATTATAATATAATATAATATAATATTTTTCACTATATGAACCCTTTAAATGTGCCATAATTCGTTCAGATAGTGGATAAGCTCCTTTGTCAGATTGCATAGATGTGCCTTATGTCCCTTACAGTTTTCTGCTTGCTTAGTAAACTAAGCAAAATACAGTCATGAGCCTGGTCATTCAAAGTGCTAATTGACATTTCCATCAATTCAGTAAAAATCAGGGTCTTGAACCTGTGTCATAGGTGAAACGAAAGCCTTTATCCAATTTTACAAATTAAACTAGATACAGAGCTGCTTTTTCATTACGGGACCTGAATGATAGACAATATACTGCAAAATGTTTTTGTCTATTAGTTTTAATTTCAATAAAAAGGAAAAATTGCATCCATTCGCATCAAACAGGGCTGAGTGTTTGAGTTCAAGTACGAGGCTGTTGCACAATGCAGCACTAAAACAACATTGTTTCATGATCAGACAGTGAAGTTAAACACAAATGAGCAATAAGATTGCTGATTATTTTTTCCCATTTAAAATTCATTACACCTCTGCACATGGACATTAAACCGCATGATAAGTGACGTGCTTATGAACCAACAAATAATTTACCAGATGGAGTTAATGTAAGCCCAGACAAACACATTTTTTCAAACGAATAGACACACAGCCACAGAAAAAAGGACAAACACGCACACACACAATTTAGCAACAGAGATAGACTGACAAACAGAAAACAGTATGGAGAGAGAGGTAACCATAGCAACCCCAAAGCCCAAAGGTTTGTTACTGAAACCTAGTTAATTACACAGGGAGGGCAAAGGAGGAAAGATGGAAACAGACGAGATGAGAGAGACAGAGCAGGAAAGATGTAATTTGCAAGTGGATGTCCCTTTCTCTTCTGTCTCTCAGAAACAAAATCTACTAGTGAGAAGAAAAAAGGGATCAGATATGCATAAGGAAGGACAGAGAGCAAAACAGTGGGAGAAAGAATGAGCGAAGGCTGTAAGTTGATGATACCCCAGGGAGAGAGATTTGCCATCTGCTTAAACCCTGTGTGCAGTGTCTTACCCAGGGGAAGGGTGACAGTAGTATAGAGATGATGATGTTCACACACACACGACTCTGTGAGGCATATACTGACATGATGAGATTGTATGCGGGAATGTGTTCACAAAATACAATCTTCTTATTCAGAACTGTAACAATTCCTTTCAGGCAAGATGAAATGGATCTACGAAAACAATGTCCATGAACATCAATACCGAGGTTGGGATTGTAAACAAAAATACTGTGCTGATTCTTATTGTCAATTCGACTCCACACAGCAAAGCACACAGCAAGAAGCAATATACGGCAATGATGAGAGTTTACGGGTGGATTAGGATCACAGAGAGAGATTAGAAAAAAGAAAAACAAATGGATGAATAGTTGAGAATCAAAAAAAGTTCAACAGAAGGTTGGGGGTTAGAGGAGAGACGGACGTGGAGGAGAGGCAGACAGAGAGCGAGAGATAAAAGCCGGGAGGTATAGAGGGATCAAGAATGTGCAACAACACAGGTACAAAAACACTAAATGAAAAGATGAAAAGAACAAAAGAGAAAAGTATTTTTTTTTCCTTCAAGAAAACAGCACAGCATGAGTTTGCATCACAATACACAAGACAGAGAGCAATCGAGAGTGGGTTTTTTGCTTTTTATAATAAATGCATTAATTAGAGGAGCTGACAGAAAAGTTCTAGATCTCATTTTTCTTTTTTTTCCCAAAAAAAGGGTTTAAACATGATTAAACATTTTTTAATGACTTAAAAAGTATAAATAAGTAAAAAATATAAAAATAAGTAAAAAGTATAAAAAAGTATAAATACTTATAAAAGTAACTTACATATTAGGAATTTTTCATCTTTAATTACATAATTAAATGAATTGAAAAGAAAAGCCATTGCAATTGCAATGTTGAATTGCAATGTTAAATAGACATTGCAAAAAGAAGCTTTAGAAAGAAATAATTTTGATTCAACGTTGCATAAATGATGATAATAAATAGGTATTAATGGGTTTTCATTGGTGAAATTGAGCAAAACAGACAATATAGACAATACTGTGCCTAAAATTAAACACAATATTGACTTCTTGATTGTTGAACTATTGTATAATATTACTTTTGCAATCGTGTAGATATTCAAGAGAGAAAAACCCCACACTTGCTCATGTGATATTGCTAAACTATATCATATGATATAAATATAAGACAAAAAACCCATACAGGGCCATATTTTGCCCTCACATCTTGAATTTTAGGGGCATATAACTGCAGTCTAACAGCCTACCTCACGCAGTCAGTCGTTTGTCCTGCATCATGTTCGTTAGAAACTGTCTGCAATGAACAATAAGATGACAAACTGGTCTAGACCATGGTGGGGTGTGTTAAATGCGTTAATCATTTTAATGCATTATTTTTTCCATAATTAATTGCACCAAATTAACATGTTAAATCTACAGCCCTATATAATATAATAAAAACTAAGTATTGTAAATAAGTATTTACTGTACGCATTTATTAGTCATACAAATACCACATCAAGCGTTATTATTCAGAAAAGGTGATGGTCAAGTGTTTGGAACGGAAGTCTGTTTCTGAAATAGCCTGCCACCAGGGAGAGGGGGTGAAACCAGTGACAGAGAGACGTGTTGTGTACTGTATGTCTGAACAGATGTCCTTAATGTCTGACACTCCAGAACCCTGCAGACACCTTGGCTTGTGCGAACTATTGCATTCATAAACACACAAACATGTACTGTACATTACACAAACCTCCCCTCAGGAGGACAGCTTTATAAACATTTCATTTTCTCTATGTAAGGCTACAATTACATGCAAGTCAAAGTCAATCCAACTCACAGTTCATTGCAGTGATAGCTCAGGACATGCACACTGCCTCAAAGTCACTTGCAGCCCTAGAGGGAGGCCCTATCAGCAAACTGCATGCCATGCATTAAAATTTAATATGACAAAACCACAAAAAAAAAAAACACCAGATAATGCTGTACACAATCACATTATTCAAAAGGCGAATCAAAGTCTCAATGAATAAGTAAACATTCCATTAATTATACATTGACAATACTCTACAAGCGGCAAATGGGAATAAAAACTGGCTTTAGCAAGTGAATAAAATTCTTCAAGATGCCAGTTGGCTGTTAATTTTATTTAGAAATGCAAGGTTACATGGTTTATGCATGTGAGTGATCAAACACCAAGATGCCTGCTAAAGAAAATGCTTGTAGTGTAATAACTTTTACCTGATGAAAATTTATTATCTCAAGTGTATATGTGTCAGATGTGGTGAAAATTAAAGTTTGAACCTTACTGTTAGTTGTTTTTTAATATATTTATTTAATAAAAATGAATGTTCATAGAATAGTCAGATATTAATTTATATGGGCTATAGCCTAACACATGCACATGCATAAACTGTTGTATTTACTGTCGTATCGTATAAGCATAAGACACATATTTCGACATTTTACATAATTTAACATAAGCCTTAATGTAATATATAAGACAATATCCTGTTGAAAGATGGATGTTATTTTGTTCGTAAATTGATCTATGTTAAAACAAAAAAAAAAACACGTTACTCCGCTGAGGAGATGAAGGGGTGGAGTGGCGCGAAAGAGAGAGAGAGAGAGAGAGCGCGAGGCGCGCCGCTGAGTGACAGGAGAGAGAGAGAGAGTCCGAGCGCGCGCGACGGTCACAGCGCGCCTGACTGACTGAACTGAAGACTGAGACGGTTAAAAACACAGAGAACGGGACAAATCAAAACCACTGAGAAAAAAAAACGCGCTCTAGAAAAGAAGAAAATTTCGCATAATTTAAACGAAGGAAAGATGCCGTTTACCCAGACTGAGGTATGTTGCTCTACACACTTCTTCATATGAGCTACTTGTTACCAACGGTCAGTCTGAGTCAGCTCAACTCTGACTTCAACTGAAATGAGGTAGAATAAATATGTTTTTATACACATTATAAGCGCTGTTTAGAGAATACTGACATATTCTGGCTGAATGCGTACATTAGCCCTCTAATTTGTCTTTTTAATTTGTTTGCTCTTAAGCGCCTATTTAATCAGTCTGAGGCGGCTGCCACATGGAATTAAATGCAGGCGCTTTGAAATAAGATCCTGGATTGGGACTCTCATTCATTTATTTTAATGACCTGTTATTAAACGCGTGCGACTGTGTATAGTGCCTAAATGCGCTTGTTTGCTTGCGATGGCTATTTAAATACTGGTAGCTATACAATCTGGTGAAGATTTGCATTTGTTTTTGTACTTTCAGACCTGGTGCAGAGTTTGCATAGGAGTTCAGGGCAATAGTGCATCCGTCTTTGCACTGTACTCTCATAATCGGCATAAAGACAATGTAATACAGTAGAACATCTAATAATATCATTGAATATTAAAAGACATATTTATGGCACAGATTACGGACATTGCCCTACACTGCAATGTGATTTCAACTGAGATAGGTAAAT